ATAGCTTTCTATTCCTTTAGCTTGATTTTACTTTGCTGTCGCACCACAGAAGAGAACTCGAATTTCGACAGGTAATTACAGTAATTATGCTGTTTCGTTGTGGCCATTGAATGCATATGCCTCGAATGTATATGCCTGCGAAATGGCGAGGCAGGTTGGGGGTTTTAGCAGTTGAGGTCCATCGTGACAGCTAGATCAGACCACGTTTTTATAATCGATTATTTTTGTCATACATGTGATCTTATGCATGAGGAAGACATACAACACGGTTCAATATCGCACACGCGGGCTTTCAGAATTAAAAGCTTGATATTATTTTCATGTTTACTACAAAACCTTTAGGAAGGACCCAAATACAAATGTAGCATATGCAATTTTTATGCATTTAGTGAAACTATATATATATATATATATATATATATATATATTTGGACATTTTGTTAAGAAATTAACATTATTCCTTTACATCATTGAATCTTTTGGTGAATTTTCTTAAAAATTGTCCCTTTTTAATAAGATATGAAAGAAAATCGCAATGCCCCGCCGATATTTCAAATTATGGCCATGATGCTAGAGGGTTCTGAAAACTCCAAGATGTTGCTCAATTTATGAGCAGCAGTGAGAATGAATGTTCCAAATCTCAATATCTACATATCTATATACAGTGTAACAAACAAAATGCAATAAAGATTCACTTTTAAGTCATCTAAAAGACTCAACGCGTTTTACCTCGTAGAAATATATATCAAAAGAAGAAAACAGATGTAATCACAAGCATTAAGAACTATCACTTGGATATTAGACAGATAAATGGATCCATTCAAAAGCCAAATACATTTTGCGGTCTTGGCATGAAAGACCCTGAACTCTTCGTCGCATTTCACCTAATTATTACTTTGGATAACCGTCATATTATGGTTTCATAACGCGTGGAAAAATTGTCCTCTAAATGTTCGGGTGTTCTTGTTGTTGAAAACTAAATAAAACTATCAACTTTTAGAATGGGATTTGCATATGTGGAGGTTCCGAATGTAGATTCTTTGCGATTACTTTATTCGGGAGACATGTCAAACAACAGCAGTAGAAATAATTTTTTTTTCATGTTTCTTTTTCAGATATACATGTACCATTGATTATAAAAATAATAATGAACAACTTCGACAAAAAATAAATATCATTTTCACCCCCTTTCAGTAAATACACACAAAAAGCCAGAAAACCAGTGATGTGGGGAGAGCATTCGATAGCAGGCTTCCCTGGTCTTAGAAATGTTGTTCTGCTTTGTGTCGAGAATTGTAAACATAAAGCCCATGTCAATCATTTGGTTAGCGCTTGACGCATGTTCTCCGCAGTGGTTGATTGAGCTATCTGTTGTCAGTTAACTTTGCTATTTCGTAAGGTAATTACCTACACTTTCCAAACGCTTAACTTACTCAAATGCTTTAGATTAAATTATATTTTTGTTACCCACATCTTGTCGAGACTATTGAATCAGAGTTTTATAATTGCTTACAAAACGATATTCAGGTGAAATGGTTAATTTATTTTGTATGAATTTAACGAGTGCTGCAATTCAATAGTTCAATTTGGTTGCCTGACAAACCAATTTGGGAGCTGTCAAAACGTATGCAGTAGAATTAGTGCCACTCCAATGTCCAGAAGTGGTGTCATGGTAAGGGTCAATATTACTGATGAGAGTTACTGGACAGAAACTTTTGTCGTCCCTCTTTTATCACATAGCATTGGCAAGAACCCTTTATTACCCTTTTTCTTCTTGAAGTGGGCAACTGAGGCAGATCTTCAGAGGCCAAGTTTGTTGCGTGCCTTGCGACTTCGACAGAAAACTGAGGACTGCTTTGTCGCGAACTGCGTGATATTAAGAAACCTGATAGGCCTCGAAGATAATATTTTTCTATTACGTATCATATCAAAAAAGCGCTATTTTTGCAGTTACAGTAATTGTTGCTTTTGTGAATTCTTAGTCACTTGTCATCGATCCAATTTCGCTATTATGAACACAGGAGGACACTCGCGATACAACAAGCTTAGCATTTTTAAGACTGATCAGGCTCGACAGCATTGCCAATTAAGGGGCGCCAACCAACGCCATTGCTTGACGAATGCAAACAAGAATCTGATTCGGTGAGATCTGAATATAAAAGTAAGCTTTTCGGGGAATATGTATATGTTGCCGAGTGAAACTGAGAGTGTTTACGGTAGATATACCTGGGCGCAAGATGTCGAATCAAACTATGGCAGAGGTTGACTTCATCAACAGCACGGAGGATTTTGATTTGGAACAGGCTTCTACGGAGACACGGTCTTGTAAAGGAATTGCTTGTCTCCCTTTCATTGCTGTAGAGGTAATTTTAGCTATCCTTGCAATCTTGGGCAACGTTTTCCTCATTGTCGCTTTTGTGAAATTCAAAGAACTTCGCCATAGATCAAACTTCGCAATCGTGAGTCTCGCCGTAGCAGATTTGCTCACGGGCGCTATTTGCATACCGTACAACATACTAACGGCGTATCTGATTGAAAGCCTCCCGTCTCTGCGACATCTTTCATTTGACAGGTACACATGCCTTATGAAAATATGCGTCTTCAGCATTATGATGGAGGTCTCTTTCTTGCATCAGGTGCTAATAGCATTTGAAAGATTTATGAAGATTTGTCGACATGTTCAATACCCGACATGGGTGACAAGCAAAAAACTTATTATTACTATTTGGTGCACGTGGTTGTACACAATATTCATCAATCTCCCCCCGCTGTTTGGTTGGAACAGTTGGTCTCCCGGCGTAGAATGCAGATCGAGTAAAGTTCAAGCGGATTTCGTGCGCTACATCATTATTCCCCACCAGCCGATATGTCTTCTGGCAGCGTTCGGGTTCTACATCGCCATTTTCCGCTATGTTCAGCAGCAAAAAAGAAAGATCGCGAGTTACACAAACTCTGAAAGCTGCCATCAAACCAAGGAGCGTGATCACATTGGGCTTGGACGAGAAGTGGACCGCCCAGACTTTTCGCTGCCTTCAACCTCGAAAACGTCTGGGACTCCTCTGACTGATATTGCAGCGTGTTCTTCCAAAACTCCGCCGATAACACGGGTGGAGCCTTTATTCAGAGCTGAGCCCAAAAGTCCCGCGATGTTAGATGCTCCAACAAAGGGAAAAGGAAAAGGAAAACGGTCAGCTCCGACTACTGTTGTCTTTTTAAAAGAAAATCCACGGCCACGAGAAGATCGTCAAAATTCTCCTCCCGCCGCTCATCAGCATCGCGCCAAGCCTGCAAAAGCCGCCAAAAATGTAGAAGTGAAGGTAGCAAAGATGACGTCACTCATCCTTGCCAGTTTTACGTTACTCTTCATACCATCTGTGACACTATTTTTGTGCGAGAAGTACTTTAGAAATAATAGATACACCTTTAATATTCTTTTCAACATTACTATTGAATTTATCTGCCTCGGGTCTGTCATTAATCCCTTTATTTACGGAATGTTGAATAGGAATTTCAGGGACGCATGCTTTAAATTATTAAGATTGGATCGCTTCGGTTAAAATAGTGTTTGTGGATCAAAATTTTTGTTACATGAAAACTTGACATAAACATCTGATAAAAATGTAAATAATTTTTTGGGGAGAGGTTCATACTTAAAGGGCAGAAAAGTAGGCTAATTATGGTGTCACAAAAATAAGACCAAGCGTGAGGTACCTTTACTTCTAACAGTGTATTAATATAAGGGAAGGATAATGGCTTAGTTGTGATCTTACTTGACGTTTTCTATATTTTTCGCAGGATTAGCTGTTCCAATAATTTGTACCCTGCTGATTAATCTAACCTACTGTAACATTTTAAGACCTATGGTAATTAGTTCTTTTTTCTGTTGGCTATCTGTGAATATTTGTAAATAGAATTTACAGTAATCAACTCAAATTTAAAAATGTTCATTTCCACGAAAAAAAAAACAGGTGTAAAGTAATATTTCTATTCACAAGCCTCACATAGATTTAGATGTTATTGCATTTTAAGTGTTTATTGCAATTAGTTTCTAATTAGTTTCTCTGTATATTAACGTATTTACAGGTCTTAATAATTTCCTTTGTTTATGTCTTTATGTTCCTTTGAATGTTATGATATATATATATATATATATATATATATATATATATATATATATATATATATATATTAGAAAAACTTCACGCTAAAATAGTTTCATGTAGTGTGTGCTAGAGTTGAAGGAAAATTTAACAATAATTGAAAAGGTTTTCTGGATATAATATATATCGTGCCTTTGTGAAAAGAGAAATCAATATCAAAAAAACTTCAGCGCATCCGTAAGGTGATACATGTATGAAGTATTAAGCAACGCAAATAATGAAAGCTTTTTTTTTTTTTTTGCCGAGTGTGCTTTGCAGAAAGACGTTTATGATAATAACATAATGACTGGAATGAGAGGATATTCAAATTATATTATGTTACTCAGTGACAGCCTGTTCAAAGGCATGCAACACTTTTTTATAGCAATAAGTTTTTTTCTTTTTTTTTTTTGAAAATTTTAGCAATTTTATCTCTATTAAAAGATGAAAAAATTATAGTTTATATACAGTTTTGGAACTTTCCATTTCTGTTTTTTACTGTTAAGAGTTAAACTAGCGTCTCCATCTACATTTAAAGGGCCTCAAATATTAGAATGTTACATATACCTATTTTATATCATTAATTTTTGTAGGTATTTTTCTTTTTGTCAACTTTCTGTTTCAGTCAAAGAATAAACCATGTACAGGCACAGAAAATGTTTCAGACTGCTTTGTACTCTTTTATTACAAATATTATTTACATTTTTTTCTGCTAACATATCTTGAACAACGATTGATAAAAAAGCCTTTTGTTATATGTTTACAGACTGAATATTTGACATGAGAAAGTTTTAAAGATATACTTATATTTATGAAATTTCAATTGCTACAGAATTTCTTTCCAGCATGATAATCATTTTAAGTAACCTTTGAAAAATATCCCTTTAGATCACTCTACAATTAAAAATTTTGTTTTAAAGTAACCTTTGAAAAATATCCCTTTAGATCACTCTACAATTTAAAAAAATTGTATCACTTTTTCAGTCATTCAAAAACTCATCAAAATCAAAAGGCTGTGGATTGTTATTCCTGGATCCTTCTTCTCCTCCCTCACTCTCAGACTCCGAGACTTCCAGGTCCTGATTGAGGTTGTCACCTTGATCCTCCTGACCTTGACCTTCTTGACCTTCACCTCCCTCAGCGGGCTCATTTTGGATAAAGAACTCAGAGGGGTCAAAATTTTCATCATCACTGTCATTAAATTGGTTGACCATTTGACTATTGAGCCCCGATTGGTTGTCAAAGTAGTACTGAGGCATGTCTGCGTTGTCATACGCTGACTGCGAGTCTTGCATGCTGTTGTCATAGCGACCAGGCTCGGGTGATTGGTCATCTCTATCTCCTTCACTTTCTTCTCCTAAAATATAATCACAGGTATAATCTGCTGTTGGGAAAATAATTGAGAAGAATTTTAAAATCCCATTCTACATAATTACGTTAATCAAAAGAAAGAGAAAATGTCTTTCCTTGGGATTTTCAGTAGTTATCATATCTCATGTTCTTATATATTCCTAATATTACCTTCAGATATCTGTAGATCTTGGACCAAAACACTGTTTTCATCCTGTGCCAAAACAGGCTGACTCTAAAAAGCAAATAATAATAATAATAATAATTATTATTATTATTTAAAGTCTAAAATCTAATAATGTTTGATAAATATTCAAGGGATGTCTTTATCCCAATGCTCTCCTATAGGAAAGTGAGTATCAAAAGCCGATGACAGGTCAAGAAGGACTAGTAACATGGCAGAGCATTTTTCTACACCCATGACAATCTTTGAAAGAAAAGGCAAATAATTTCTAATTAGTTCTTAGTTACATACTTGCTCACTGACATCCATAGAGTATTCTTCATCTCCTTCAATATCAACATACTCGCTATCTTCAAGAAACAATTTCTAAAAACAAAACAGATACAAGGATTACTAATGAAATACTGGAAAGTGTGCCTGAAAGAAAAAAAACATGACAAAAACCACTGCGATGAACAACTACATGATCAAAATCTTATACATTTAAAATCTGTGTTCTCAAATTCAAAGCCTTTATTCAAAATACTTTACATTTACAAAAAAACTTTGGGTTTGAAAATGACCTTGTTTCCATCAGAAGTATCCATTTGTGATTCATCTCCAAATTTGCTGTCTTCTTCTTCTTCCATCATCTCAAACTTGCTGTCGTCTGCCTGCATATGACTGTCTTCTACTATGGTAATATTCTCTCTCACACTGTAACTATCCACACTTTCATTGTCCGCACCTATAGCAGACACAAGAAATGGATAGACGTACTCCAATATGTCCACAATACTAAGTCATCACAAAAACAAATTTAATCTTAGAAACAAAAAATTAATCTACATTTCTTGACTTCTTTGATTTGCCCTTTGAAATACAGTACCAAAGTTCTATAATGTCAAATTATTTGTGTTTCCTAGAAAAAAAATCCAATAAACTAATTCTTCAAATAAGTATCAGTCCTAAAAGAACTGTTAATTGTGAAATTTACCTACCCATCATAGAGGTATCATTCATAGAAGACCTGGTCATGATACTATCCGTTTCCACGGCATCCAAAGCTGCCTCTTGAGCTGCACGAATCCCCTCCTCAAGTTGAAGGAGGTGTTCTTCATTCTGAGAACAAAATTTGAAAATAAAAAGAGGTTCACCAAAGCCTAGCCTGCTGATCCACAGTTCATTATCTATTTGGCAGGAATTCAAAACAAATCTTTTTCACGTTAAAGGCATACATTGTGAGTTAGACTTTTACACAAAAAAATCTTTAGGGTTTCAACTATTCCCTTACTTTAACCAGATATCCTTTCTAGAACTGCTGAGAATATTATAATCTAAATCCAACTGTCAAATGCCAAATTTTGATTTTTTTTACCTCTGAGAGTGATACTCACTCGTATCCATCAACATCTCAATCATCATAATAACAGTAATTTAAAATAAGAAACTTGAAATTTAGAAGGACATCTACATGTCACATTATGGCTGACTACTGCAATAAGTTCCCACCTCTGCCAAAGTTTCTCTGCACACATCAGATATCTGTTTGGCTGTGGCCGTGTACGCACTATCCCCACCATTATACTTGATACTGTTCACATAAATAAGATCCACGTCCTCCTGGAACTGGCTGCGCGTGTGGTACTTATGACGTTGTATGTTCCGTAGTAACATGCTCAGGTCCATGGGGTTCTTCACGATCTCATAGTAATCCTTGACAAACTTCTTGTTTACAGGCTGGTGGAAGGGCCAAGACTGTAAAATAAATGTCAGCAATCATTCTTTCTTATGAAATCTCTCTATTCCAATTGCACTATCTAAATTGTAGTACTTCAAACCAACAAGTCATGCCAGGTTAAACCATCAAGGGATACTCGGCCTTATTTTGTTTTCTGTAACACATACAGTTCTATGCTTACTACTACTTTCTTGTTTTCCATAACACAGTTATATGCTTATAATTACTTTCTTATACACACCCCTGTGCTTAATCTTGGTTTAAGTTACACCACCCCATGCTTATTCCTATTTTCTCTTACACAGGCCTTTTCAATTCTTAGTTTCTGCTACATAGCCCCATGCTTATTGTTGGTCCCAGTTACACAGCCCTAGATTTTACTCCTCATACTGCAATACATAATCCTTACATTATCCACCAATTTGAGTTTTGTCTGGACAATATTTTCTAGAATGAAGGAGAATGCCACTTGGTCATCATCATCTAGAAGTGGGTTGATGGCTTTCTCAAGCCTCATCAGCTTATCTTCTTTCTGCAAGAGTGAAATTAGTCAGAGAGAGTCAACAGATGTACAGACAATTAATCTTTATTTTTTTAAATGCATACCATATATATATATCTGGACTTGTGATTTGTCTTTGGGTATGACAAAAACAAAATTGAGTTCATTCACTGCTTTCGATTCCATTATCTTGAAAACAAAGTTACTTATGCAGTTTTTGCGTCGTAATAACAACAAAAAATGAACAGGTCACCTCCGCAAACCTCTGTAAGCACAGATCCAACATGGCCTGGGCAGTTAATGTCAGAACACTTTTTACTCCTGGAAATAAAAAGCCAAATATCACAAAAAATGCATTTTTTGAGACAGTCATTTTGTGAGATAGTAATGTAGAAATGATTCATTTTGTAAGTACTTTTTTTCTCAAATGAATTTGCCAATTTACTGCTAAAATACCATGCATACTGCTTTAATACCACACTGCCCTAAATCCCACTTTGTGTGCGTTTGTGTATTTGTGAATGCATGCATGGATGCCTGCGCTTGCATGTGTGTGACATGATTACCTGTGTATTAATGTATGTGTGCGTGCATGTGCGTGCATGTTTAACCCACCATTGTACAGCTTGCTATTCTCCACCATCTGGTTGATGTCCACCAGGAAAGACTCACGTGACTGGTATTTCTTGCTTCTTATGCTCTGAAGAAGATATTACAGAAGACATTTACTTGTCATGAAGGAACTTGTTATCATTCACATATGCTTGGAATATTCCAGGTATTGCATATAACACAAGTGCTGGAATTTTTGCTAAATAATGAGATTCTTGATCCCCATTCCCACCTAAAAATAATAACTTCTCAGATAAGAACATAACTTTACAATCCAAACAGTGATATGCTTATGGTTAGGGAGGAGAAATTGTCCTATAATAATAAATTCTGAGTTTTACATAAAATACTTTTGACTGCCTAATGCCATACATTGAGATAATATCAACTGTAGGACATTATATAGCTTTAAGAATTGTTCTCTCACCTCCCGTATGGTTTGAAGATCCATGGGTTTCTTGATAATCTTGTAATAATCTGGAACCACTTTGGAGTTCACAGGGAACAGGAAAGGTTGAGTCTAGAATAAAAAAGAAGAAAAAATTAATCAAATTAATCAACAAAAAAATATCTAGTTGAAATGAAAAGATTTTCACAGATGGCATTCAGGGAACTTTGCATAAAAGAACCAGAACACTACACACACTGAATAATCAAAATTCGAGACAAATAGAGAAAAGAAGCTACTATGTGAAATACAATCTACAAAAACAAAAGAGTCCAAACCAATTATGATGATCCTTTAAAAAATCCAATCGTCTCTCAAAATTATTCAAATAGAAAGCAAGGAATTCATTCACAAGTTCAACACACTGATCAAGTAGCAGCAGTCAAAGCACTTACATCAGGAAGATCCCTAATTTCATTGAGGATGTTCTCAAAGATTGAGTTGAGTGTGATCACTGGGTCTGCCCTCCTCCTGTGGCTGGCTTTGGTGGGTTTCTGAAAGCAAATGTGTTAGAAATGACAACTCACTTCATGTAGCATTGTGCTTGGTGGGGAAGTGGCTCAACTGTAGCATTTTCCTACATTAGCAGGTGTTTAGACTTAGCAGTGTTCAGTTTCCTGTACACTACAAAGACACCACCTACGTCAAAAATATGTTAAACATTAACTGATCAAGTTCCACTGAAAGTGGATTGAATAACACATAGGAGAGGGCATTTTGTGAAATCATTATTCCCAGCGTCCTTCAAAGTTCACATTACTCACACTGAGATAGTCACAATGCTCAATGGTGAGTTTACATTACTCACACTGAGATAGTCACAATGCACAATGATGAGTTTACATTACCCACAATGAGATAGTCACAATGCACAATGATGAGTTTACATTACCCACAATGAGATAGTCACAATGCACAATGATGAGTTAACAATACTCACACTGAGATAGTCACAATGCACAATGGTGAGTTTACATTACTCACACTGAGATAGTCACAATGCACAATGATGAGTTTACATTACCACAATGAGATAGTCACAATGCACAATGATGAGTTAACATTACTCACACTGAGATAGTCACAATGCACAATGATGAGTTAACATTACTCACACTGAGATAGTCACAATGCACAATGGTGCCTGCTCGCCTCCTCTTTTTGTTTTCCATTGCCTGCTTGGGGAACTTCAGCACCAAGGATTTCCTCTTGACATTCTCAGCACTGGAGGTAAGAGATTTACAGTGAATTATTCATCATTAGGGGTATGCATTTTCAATTGGCAAGATATTATAATATATGTGTATGAAAAAATATATTTTCCAATGAGAAATGTGAAATGTGTTTTATAGTAACAATCATGTCACTAGACTTTAACTCATTTCAAGCTTTAAACTCAAATCAATATAAGGCACTAGTTTCAAACAACATCCCAATATTACATATATGAGAAATTTTCAGCAACCCAAAACATAAATCTGCCTGTTTAAATGCTTTATCAAATTCTACATCTCTGTTTCTCTCATTTAAGATAATTCTAATAGACCATACTCACTGTTCCAGTAAATTCTTTGACAACTTAATCTTAGTTCCCTCCACGTTCACCAGCTCCTGGTCTGTTAGCAAACTCTTCTCCTCTTCTTCCTCTTGCTCCTCTGTCATGGCAACCGGTGTCGGTGTCGGAGCCACAGAAGGAGTAGCTGGCCCTGAACCACCTCCGCCCCCAGCTCCACCACCACCACCGGTGCCAGCGCCACCACCAGCACCGCCCAAAACACCGGTCTTGTAAACTGGGCACTCTTTGTTTGTCCTCATGTGGCCTACTTGTCCACAGGCACCGCACTTCATCTATTAACAAATAGTTTTGTGATTATGGAATAAAAGTTAACATTCACAGTTTAAAAATACAATAACGATATAACAATACATTTACAGGTTTTCTTTAAAAATCCATCCTTGGCAAAGTCTGTCATATCTTGAACATACTTCACACTTCCAATGACAATCACTCATATAACAATACATTTGAAAAACAGGAATTCATAATTTTTGCTCTCCAAAATGTTTTATTAGGAGGACTTTAAGATGCTAACTGAAAAATTTTGTAAAGATAGTTGGCTTTACATCAGAACTACAATCTTGTATGTATCTGGAGATAATAAATCTAAAAAAGGTGAAAGATCAGGTGCTTGAAAGTTTAAAGGAATCCCCACACAATGGTCTAGTTTAGGTTGATACAACAATTTCAAAACATGATGATCTTGTCTTCTAAAAATATCTATCGTTCAAATAATTATAGGAAAAATAAATGCTTGTAATGGAACTAATCTGAAATCACCTTCAGCAAAGGAGCATCTTTCTTCTTCTTTTTCTTCTTGGTGGGAGGTGGAGTCGGACCCTCCTCCTTGAACTTCTCCTGGTTACGCTTAATCCTCCTCAACTGCTCCTGAATTCTCCGTCTTTCTTTCTTCATTTCCTCCTTTTGTTGTTCATCCAGAGTGGCAAATTGTTTTCTGCAGGGAAAAAAAGTCACAAGAAAGTTATCGACTACCTGTCTGGTATGGGCATTTTGTATGCTGACAGCAATACCCATTTAATGATCATAAAATTGTTATGAGAATAGGTTCTTCAAAGAACCTTTACATTTTTAGTTATATACACTCCAACATCCCAGTGTCACACAAGACGCCTTCAGAAAAAAAAAATTAATAAAGAAAACATTAAATTTTTTGAAATTTTTAATAGAGAGACAACATTCAGTACTATGTTACTTACATAAATGTTTCATCCTTGGTCTGTCTTATCCTGGCATAAGTGTCAATGACGGCAGGCTTGCGTACTATCTCTGTCCTGACAAACTCCTTCCCTTCCTCATTGCGGAATGTTCTTGTGATCTTCAGATATCTGCCACCCTATGGTAAAGAAGATATCAGGATATAAATTAAGACCAGTCTTAAGCATCTACCTTTTTTTTACTCTAAGCAAGTCTTAGAGAGATGTTTTGAATTGTTTTATTTTGGCAGTGATATTTTGGCAGTTATTTTGGCAATGGTCCTTTCAAATTGTCAGAAGATTTGAGAAATAGCAACAAGAACAGTATGAAAACTTAATATGTGTCTGCTCAACATATGATTATCTATATATGTTAACTCTTGAAGATGGATGCTGTTTCAGCAGGTAACATCTCTCACATTTTAATGTTAAAACTACTCTCTTCCATGGTAGTTTTTAAGTGCAAGATGTTATTGTGTGACTATTTTAAGAACTTTCAAAAAGCTTCTTTGAAAGCCTACCACAGTTTCTCCCTCGTCGCCAGACATTCCCTCTGCAACCTTCTGCTTCTTCTCTTTCTTCTTCTTCCCCTTTTCTTTCTCCTTCTTTCCTTTCTCAGTTTTGTGTCCTTCCATCAGCATCTTGTGCAGCTCCCTTCTCTCCTGTTCCTCACGCTCGTGGCTCAACTGAAATAAAAGAAAAGAAAAACATAATTCATTACACTTGGTGCTTCACTGCTGACATAAACCCAAAACAACCATGAGGTTAGGCAATTTTTCAATAAATAGGAACATCAAAACTTAATCAACTCTCCCTCATAATAGTTTTGTTAATAGTGCTCATAATTTCAACACTTATTCCTTAACTACCAAGGTACACCATATCCAAAACGGTTGATAAAATTTTAGTTCTCCAGTTTCTAGTTTCTGGTGAGCCTCTCTCATAATGGAGATGGAGACAGGTGAATTTTAGTTGTAATAGTAAAATTATTAACAACGGCTTGAAAATTTGTTCAGATACTGTAGTTCTCTCATATACTGTGATTCTGGTGAGATAAGATGCACCTTGGTGATTTAGGGAAAATGCTGAAAATGCCAGAAAATCTTTTGTACCTAGCACAGCCATTTGTTGGTCTAATGCATTTACCAATTAAAACCATCTGAAAATGCCCAATGTCAAAAACAACTACATTCACATTGTAAACGCCTTGGGCTTTACCTGTGTGGATGTTTTCTTATTAGTGAGAATGCTTTCTATGTTTTTGCCCATCTCCTCTATATCTGAGTCATGTTCCGAGTCTGAGCCCTCATCTGTTGACAGCTCTTCTATGGAACTTAGCACTCTAGAATAGAAAATAACAACAACAATGATTCAATTAGACCTATTTTTGTCAGGATTTAAACTAGCTATCATGTTACTGGGTCAGTAGTTTTCCTTAAATGTATCAAACTTATCATTTATTCTGCATGAACTTCATAAAAAAAAAAAGAAAAACTCTAGAAATAAGATCATTCCTACCTGTTCTGCAGATCAAAAATCCTCTGGCACTCCTCTTTGTATCTCTCCTGGTGCTCTGCTATGGAGAATCTACTGCCGCGGGCAAACTTGGACATTCCTTCTTGACCAGCTTTGGCCTGCTCTGTGGACATAGTTCTGACCACATCGATGACCTCCCACCTGGACAACTTCTTAATCTAGGAACAATTACAGAACATATCACGGTTCACATTCAAATGCCAAGATAAAAATATTCCATATTCTGGTGCTCTTGTAGGATTTTAGTGACTTCAATTAAAAAAAAGATTTAATTAATACCATTTACTTTGCTTTCCTTTCTTTACAAGAAACCCATACTTTAATTTCAAACTTGTTCACTAACATGAGTACAATCGTGAATAACAAGACCAACTTTAACCCAGCTTAAACTTAATGACATTACCACACCAATGAAACTTGCACCTTGTAAACAAGTTCATAGTTTGTAACTTTCTGCATGCTTCTAGATAGGGTATACCTTTGTAACATGATTAAAACTACTAAAATTACCTAAAATATGAAGTTCTTTTGCTTTAACATAATAATATAGGTCTAACGCACAGCCGAGAACTTGCAGGGATGATGCATGTCCAGGGATCAACTTTGTTCTGAACAGGCCCTAAATTTACCATAATTACAAACCTCAGACTCTGGTACCCCAAACTTCTTCAACAGCTGCTTGGCATCTTTCAGATTTAGTCTTCTAAGATCAGCATCTGTTCCTGTAACAGTTTTCTTCTGTGGAGTCTGACTTGTTTCATCCTGAAAAGCAACATTAGGTATTCTTTAAAGAGGCCTTTCTACTTACTATAACAGATGAAAAATCCTTTTCAGGACCCATAAAGAAAGGAATTTAAAAAAAATTTTTTTACTAAAAAGTACATATAAGAGGCTTTATAAGAACGGTGTATTAAACTATAAGATAGAGTACCCTATTTTAATGGACTACTGTTGAATCATCTCACATTGAATTAAATCAAATTTTTTAATTTTGAAAGTTCCCTCATCGCCTCATCCTGGTCATATGGAACATAATTTGGACCAATTCCTGCCTCCCCAGGCTACACACTTAACCCATGATTTCCTCTCCCCTTACCTTAGCCTGTGGTTTATTAGGCACTTTGACATAAGAGAACCCCTCGCCGCACCCGGTTGGGTCGGCCACTCCACTCAGTGCTAACAAACACTTTCCCTTGATGGCTGCTATATAAGCTCTAGTGGTGTTCCAGGGAGCAGTGCGTACCTGAGAAAAAGACGATAAAAAATTCACTGTCATTATTCAATTATAATGCTGGCATTATAGGTTTTGGTATTTTTCTGAAAAGCAGCTGGATGGTTTAGAGCATGCCTTAAATCTAACCCTTGTTCAATACTCTTTTAAAGAAAATGTGGTAATACCCATCTAGACAGCCACTATAAAACTGATTTCTACTGAAATAAATAAAATCAAATTTTTTCCAGATTATGATCTAGAATCAAACAACCCATAGTAAGAATGTGTGAGAAAAATTAGAATACCTGCCAAAAAGTAAAATATATTTTTTTTTGCTCATGAAATGAAGAAAAATCTTATTCTCACCTCATCATCAATCTTAGTTTGGAAATCTTCCTCGTTGTCTTCCTCAGGAGCAAACAAAGACTTTTCTCCATAGCCTGCATCCTACATGTACAAAAATTGACCAATTTTTTATAGTTTAAAATACATTGGTGTGTTTTATGTAATCTCACCTTTTAACTTTTATGTACATTTTCTTTATCACTTGATGTCATTTAAAAAGTTATGAAAAAAAATTACTTAAGATGCTATTTGTCTTCCTTTCCAAATGGAAAACATCAAATTATGTACCAATTTTATTAGTTAAGATAATACAATTTATTAATCATCATTTTAAATCTCACCACATCAGTTCAATTTTTTCCCTTTTATTTAACAAAATATCAAAAACTAAATTTACTTCAAAATAAACTAATCATATTTTCTAAGCCACAGCTAATGTTACACTTCCAAAACACACAATTTTGAAAAAAAAATATTCCAATCTAAAGATATATTCTTTCAACAATTTCCTCTCTACATAGATAGACCCCTTTCCCACCTTGAGTCTCTGCTCTGCTGCCTGCATGCTGAAGTAGGCACAGCACTGCTCAGGGGAAACCATCGCACGCATCTCTTCCTCAGTCGGCAGACGGAAGTCTGGTTTTAACACCCACCAATTGGAGTCCAAACCTAAGAATAAATCAAAGAATACTGTACCCTTGGGAAACATCCTTCAGAAAATATGAACTCAATAGCCAACATATCAAGTCTGAACCCAATGAAAAGGAAAAAATCAATATAAATCAATTGTAGAATGGTTTAAAATAAGGATTATTATTTTCATCTTATTGTGTGGCATAATCAGCTGCGCTACTGATTAGACAATTATAATAAAAGCAGAGAGAGACGTACCAGTTCTCTTAAAGTCTGCACACAGTTTTAATCTTTTCCTGATACTGCTCTCTGAGTGAGATGGGAAAGCTTTCTTGATGTCATCCATTTTTATCCTCCTTGGGTTGTCTTTACTTTTCCAAAACAAACGGTAGATGAACACCTGGAATAAGGAAAATGAATTATCATAATTATACATAGTTTCTTAGAGCAAAAGTGAAAATTAGAATTATTTTCCATATGAAAGTAGGTGTCTTGTGAGACAATGAAATATTAGAGTGAGGAACGATGAGTTGTTTAAGAAATTCTTAATTGTATATCACAAAGCTGACGGAATTTTTCACCAACCTGTAAGAAATCTCTGATGAAATTATTGGCTCTCTTAGAGTTAGGCCCTGGGACTTCAATTAATGGACACTCCTGTCCTACTGAAAAGATAGTGTACACCTCCCTGGCAAAATAACTGAAAAAAAAGAGAAATGGGATTTAACACAGGTACAAAATTTACAATCATAGTTCTAAAACATTTTACTAGGATTCAAAGCTAAAATTATTATATTTTTTCAATCAATAGCTATGTCAAGAGCTATTTAAACTGAATTGTTTCATTTCTCATAAAAATGGAAATAATGAATGTAGGTGTTATTTGAAGAAATTATTATTGTAACTATGAGTTTGAATAACTGATGATTTTTTTGTTTATTTATTTTATTTTTTAAACATTGCACCTGCTTCAGTTTGTATGTTCATTAGTGGACAATATATCTCAAACAGATCCTCCCAAACTTTGACAAAAAAGTCAGAATTAGGCAGATATTCTACAAGTGATTACATTTCCAATTTACTTCTGTTCAATGGACATTATCTAAATAATATAATAATATAAAATAATAATTTTAATTCTTTATTATTAATTATAATTTTAAGTTATTTACATGATAATAATCCTGGTCCCAGAAAGCTAGTCAAGTTTTTTGGGTCTTTTCCTTGGTCAAGACAGTGTAAATAAGTTAAAAGGTTTCACAAATAGCATGCAATGCTTTACAGATGAGTTTGCATGTTAATCAAATTTCATACCACTTTTATCTACATTTTGCCTTGGCAGAAGAATCCAATCTTGGGAGTGCTCTATTGGTGATTTAATTAAGAAGGTTATATATATCTTGGAACCCAACACAAAGGGGTCAGGACATGTACTAAACAGATCCATACTTACTGCTGTCTGGTTCTGATAATTAAGAAGTCATTTTCCTTCATCCTGTGTTCATATATGGGGGCCCTGAACATGTTGTTTTCAAATGCCTGCAAACACTGGCCTGGATTCAGGGAGCCGAGGAAGGGAGACGTGTGCGCGTACGCAAGCTCGCCGTACTTGAACTGTGGAGGGTTGTTATCTTTGCCAGGTTTCTGAGGATTCAAATTTAGGATTCATTGGTTAATCAAAAGTGCTCTTTAAAATTTGATACATCCCTTAAAAAAGTTTAATTAAAAATTTCCGTAGTGATTTACTGTAAGTTGTTTAATTTGAGAAGGACATGTAAATTGATAATATACACGTAACTTCACATGATCATGCAAATTTAAATATAGGATTAAGCCATTTACAACAAACACACTTTTTTTACTACAGTCACCTAAATATGATGTTTTAGTGAAAAGGATCTTAACAGTTGGGGAAACACTTAAAAAACATAACAAAAGAAAATGTACCCTTTTGTAGTAATTCTTTATCTTGGTTGCCATGCCAACTTGCATGAGGATAGGCGGGAATTCCTCCGAGTACTCCGCCAAAATCAGTTCTCCATCCATCCCTGTGAGATCTTGAGGAGTTCTCATGAAAAACATCTCGCCTCCTCCAGAGGCCAGTCGCTCTTGTTCTCTCATCTGAATGTAACATTGATAAATTGTAAGTCGAATATTGTCATCACATTAACTGTACCCTCTTCAAAAAACTACTTAAATCATTTTTACCTTTACTTAACCTTTGTTAGCATGCAGAACTAATGCCTGATACATACAATACAAATCGTCATAGGCTCTATTCCCATAGATTTTAGATCGATCTATCCCCGCGGGGAGTCTCACTAGATTACTTTCAGATAATCCGACTTAAACGTCCGTCCCGCCTACTACAAGCTTTAATGGGGTAATTAACTTTTGTGTCCGCCCAGCTGACAGCTATTTAGCGTGAACCCCCAGGGAGTTAGGTTGATCTAAAGTAGGTCGATCTAATCTATGGAAATGGGGTGATAGACATCCACATGACACAAAGATGGAAGGTTCATTTTGAACTTTTTTGTAACTTTTTGTATCAGGCTAATGATATTGTACTTACGATTCTAATAGTACTGGTAGATTCATATCACACTTTTTGACTTAAAAAAAAAGAGCAAAACAGAGCAATATTAGGACGAGTATCTGTGTGGTTTTACTTTTCAGACCATCAACCAGAACTCACCTTTGCCTTCCTTCTTATAGTTTTCAGCAGAGGCAGTACGGCCTGTGGTCCGTGCTGAGACATGGGTCCATGGGAATACTTCTTGAGGGGAGGACGATGAAAATTCCGCAGTTTCATGGTGCCCATGTGTGTTGGGAAAAATGGCTGCCGGAGTTCACATGCTGGAGTGGAATGCTAAAAAAAAAAAAACAAGTGATTTTTTAAAGTTGAGCTCCAGTTTTTTTTCCTGTTCACTGAAAATGAAAAAATTAATGTATATCCAAAATGCAAGTGCAAATTGTTAAAAGAGGGACCCTGTGGAAGGCTGAAAGAGAATTATGAAATGTTATCTTTTTTGGTAATTTACCATGTTGAGAGAAATGAAAAAGTTTTTCAAGTATAAAACTGTCCATGTTTATCAAAAGAGTGCTTGTCTTTCATAACACTACAGAATAAAAACAACACCAACATTAGAAGAAAAATTATAAATTCACAGAAGCAACAATTCTTTTTTCCTTTAATATAGCAAAAAACCTCCAAAACAAGTAACCATAGATAACAAATCAACACTGCTGACCTACTTAGTACCGTAACATAAATTGCAGTCAAATTAATGATAAGAACAGCATGACCTACATTCCTTGGCCAGTGATAAATAACTTATCTCCACAAAACTGCATTACTGATAACAACAAGATGACATTTTGGAGTCAAGTAGGTTGAAGTTTATGACAATATAGAATTGGAAATTTTACAATCATGAAAATTAACAAAGAATACTTTTAAAGCAAATTGTAAACTAATTTTGTCTACCAATTCGGAGTCACTTTTTGCATTGTTTGGTGGCTAAATCTCTCATTTATGTGTGCTTGAATTGAGAGGAGTCTCTGAGGCTAGTTTGCTCTCAAAAATTTCTTGTTTTCTTAAAAATACAACAGAAACATATAGTTGTCAGTTGAAAATGTCATTTTATTGACATTTGTACTTTGATTAATACACAAAGTACAAATTATAATACAAATAATTAAAAATTATCATATGAATGATAAGCATGTATGGTAAATCATTTACAAGTTTAAGACTGGGTTCCCACAGATTTAGATCGATCCATCTGGATCGGCCTTACTCCCTGGGGGTTCATGCTTAATTGCTGTCAGGCTAGCATGCACAAAGTTAATTACCCCCTTACAGCTTTTAGTAGGCGGGACAGACATTTGAGCCGGTTAAGCTGACAGCAATCTAGTGAGACTCCCTAGGGGAATAGATCAATCTAAATATCTGTGGGAATAGTCTCTAAGATATAATTTTAAGTTTCTGCATTGACATAAAATATTATCAGTTCATATCTTAAATACCCATATGTCACATGACAACCTTACATCAGGTGACAAAGGCACAGGTCTTAATCGCCCCACCAGCAAGGAATTTCTTTATCCATTTCAAGGTGAGTTAAAGACAGCAACTTGTTAAAAATTTTAACACCGGATATTAGCTAGTGTGCACTCAAATCATTTCTATACAGTAATCACATTTATATATTGATCCAACTTACTACATCCTATACTTGCTCGTTTCACTTCTGGATACATCCTTTACTTCCTTGTTTCACTTCTGAATACTTCTTTATCTATTCATTATATTCTTCATACCAAAAACAACATTTTCTAGTGTACTAAATTAAAGACAATGACTCATGTTCCATCATTTTAAATTAAATTAATTATGCCTTTACCAATGACAAATCATACCAAATTTGCTTTAAAGAAATTAAAGAAAAGGATTTCAGGACAACCTTAATGCAGTATGCCATGTCTCTCCTAAAGAACTAGTATGACTTTTCTAAAGACGGGGAAAAAATGTTCAAAGGGCTCCCTCTTTTAATTAAGTGTTAAAGCAAAATTTCCCGCTATCTTGTGGTGGTTTATGAAAGCCAGCAACACCTTTACCAACTAGAGGATCAGAGNAGATTATTGGTGACTTAAATCCATGAGATGGGTATGGGGGGCCTTACCGTCTAGGAGGAGAAGCGGTAACGGTAGCCGTCCGGCGGAGCCGGCGGAACGATCCGGACGAGACCGAAACCATGTGTACCGCCAGCGCTAACGCTGGTGGTACAATGACTCCTTATTACATACTGAGACATTCAATTTTTCCAGGACTAAGACAAAATGGCGACTGCTGCGACTCCACGAAATGAGAGAGAAAACACAATGCGTATGGGGCTACTGATACACCAGTCAAAGGATGTGCTTCAGGATCTCCTCAGTACACAGTTACAAACAACTTATCCAGGGTTGTTTGATCCGTCAAATGGTGGCAAGTTGTTTGATATTCTAACTGAGCAAAAGGCAAATCAAACTTTGCTACAGTTGAAAAAAATGAAAGTTTTAAATCCAAGCCAAATGAAGCTTCTATACCCTTCTGGGAAACCCTCCACAACTGTGACATTGAAGGACTTAGATGTAACTCTTACAGTAGTCTTGTTAAGAAATATCACAACACTTAACCCAAAGGGCAGTTGGGAGAATCCACCAATAACAGACACGTCCATGGAGGCCCAGATTGGCAGAGTGAAGAAATACCGCAATAAATTTTCCCATGAGGGACCCAGTCTCACAGATGCTGCATTTCAGACCCAGTTTACAGAATTGAAAGCTTTGTTGTTATCACTTTCCACAATCTACACCAGTGATGACTATGACAAGTTGCTTACTGATCCATTGCATGCAGCAGGTATATATATGAAGTATTTCACAGAGTGTACTATGAAGAATAGTGAGAGAAACTGCTCTTTGATGTTAAGAGGGCCTGTGCTCTATTATATCAATTGACCACCAGTGTATTAATAAAGACAGCTTTTTGTTTTAAGTCTTGAGTGAATTTCAAAGAAATGCACACAATGAGAGGAACTATTCTTTGTAGTACACTTGTATTGGGATTGTGCTCTGCTGATTGTTCCCCAAGGTATAAACTTAAAAGAAGGATAACTTTAAGTTTTAAATTAGAAATAACTACAAAATTCACTTCCCCGACTTCATTTTAAAACATCAAATTAACCTTTCAGGCCTCTACCCTATAATTACAGGCAAATAATATACATAATATTATAATTTTTTTATATAATCTTTTTTATGCATGAAATTTAAGTTTTTTCTTGCATGTTTGCTTTTCAATTTCAGAAGCACCTTGTAAGCTCATCCCTACTAACCTTCCAAGTAGAACTCCAGATCTGAAGGGAAGAGTGGACCTGGTGCAGGAAATACTGCAGCATGTTGAAAATGACACAAAACTCATTCTCCTGACTGGCATGGGGGGCATAGGTAAAACAAGCACTGCTATTGAGGTTGGACATCATAGAAAAGATGTCTTGTATATTGATATGAGAAAAGTTGTAAATCCTGATTCTGTTAAATTATCACTTGTGCAACACTATCACCCAACTCAGTTTTTGAAAGATATTTACAGTGATTATCAGAACAAATTCACACAAACTATGTCTAATTTAGCAACAGACACTCTCCTTATCCTTGATAATAATGACCGTGTTTTGAATTCACACCAGCAAGAGTTTCTGCAGTTACTGGAGGATGTCATGAATTCATCAAAACATATCACTCTTTTATGCACCAGTCGTGAATCCTTCAGTCTTCTGTCACAAAACACAGTTACTATAGACATCCGTCCTCTTGATAAAACATCTTCATGTGAAGTCCTTTGGGGGGGAAATACAATCAGTCCCACAGATAGTGAGACAGAAGCTTTAGATGAAATATCAGAGAGATGTGGCCACAATCCCCTTGCATTAAAATTAGCAGCTACCCAGATCAAGCTCAAAACAGTACAAAAAGTGTTAGAAAAAATAAAACGCATAAAGGTCCTCCCCTCTCTTCAGTTACCTAACATTCCAGCATCCCAAGGTATGCTTACCTGCTTAAAGATGTCTTACGAAATGCTGAATGATACCGAGAAAAGGGTATTTAGGGGACTGCATATATTTCCAGTTGCATTCAATTCAAAAGAGGTCTCAGAGATTTTGGAGATGGATGAAGATGAATGTGAATCTGTCCTTGAGAGTCTTAGCATTAAATCACTCTTGAGTTTAGTCCAAAATACCTATGATCTGCATCCTTTGGTGAAGGAGTATGCAGAGTTTCTTGCACAAACTGACAGCAATGAAATCTCTCACACACGTAAGAAATACTGTGATTATTACACAAGTCGAATGTACCAGGGATACTTTGTGCCTAATATTAGAGGTTCACTTTTTGAAAATATGTCAAAACTTGTGCCCCATTTACGCATGACTACCACCTTGCTTAAAATGGAACTCTGTACTCCTGACATACAACAGAAAGAAAGTATTCTCGAAACTTTGCATCAGATTGCAAATACATTCCAATTTCTTTTTCTGAATCAAGAAGCTCTCTCGGTTTTACAGTCAATTGAGGCAGAAATGGACACATATTCTGAAAGTCAACCAATCAAAAAAGCAAAAGTGCACAACCATATTGGTTGTGTACTGAGAAACATGGGTAAGTACAAAGAGGCACTTGACTATCACAAAAAATGCCTAAAAGGTCTAGAAGGGCTGCTAGGTCTCAAACACCCTGCTACTGCTTCCTCATACAACGAAATTGGTATAGTACTAAAAGAGATGGGTAAGTACAAGGAGGCACTTGACAATCATAAAAAATGCCTGGAAGTGCAAGAAGAGATCCTTGGTCCCAAAAACAAGAATACTGCTACCTCATACAACAATATTGCTTGTATACTATTAAACATGGGTCAGTACAAGGAGGCACTTGACTATCATAAAAAATGTCTACAAGTTATGGAAGAGCTGCGAGGTCTCAAACACCCTGATACTGCTACCTCATACAACAATATTGGTTGTGTACTACAAGACATGGGTAAGTACAAAGAGGCATTTGAATATCATAAAAAATGTCTGGAAGTAAGGGAAGAGCTCCTAGGTCTCAAACACCCTGATACTGCTTGCTCACACAACAATATTGGTGGAGCACTAGAAAGCATGGGTAAGTACAAAGAGGCACTTGACTTTCAAAAAAAATGTCTAGAAGTAAGGGAAGAGATCCTAGGTTTCAAACACCCTGATACTGCTTGCTCATACAGCAGTATTGGTTGTGTACTAGGAATAATGGATAAGTACAAAGAGGCACTTGACTATCATAAAAAATGTCTGGAAGTAAGAGAAGATCTCCTAGGTCCCCAACACCCTGATACCGCTAGCTCATACAACGATATTGGTGGAGTACTAGATGCCATGGGTCAGTACAAAAAGGGGCTTGACTATTATAAAAAATGTTTGAAAGTAAGGGAAAAGCTCCTAGGTCTCAAACACCCTGATACTGCTACCTCATACAACAATATTGGTTGTGTACTACGAAACATGGGTAAGTACAAAGAGGCACTTGAATATAACAAAAAATGTCTGGAGATAAGGGAAGATCTCCTTGGTCCCCAACACCCTGATACTGCTATTTCATACAACAATATTGGTGGAGTACTACGAGACATGGGTCAGTACACAGAGGCACTTGACTATTTGAAAAAAAGCAAAGAAGTGATGGAAAATGTGCTAGGCCCCAAACACCCTAGTACTGCCCATGTATATGGCACTATTGGTGATACACTACAAGCCATGGGTGACTACAATAGAGCACTTCCATATTTAAAAAGATGCCACAAACTGAAAAAGGAGCTGCTAGGTCCCAAACACCCTGATACCGCTAGCTTATACAATAATATTGGTGGAGTACTACGAGGCATGGGTAAGTACAAAGAGGCAATTGACTATTTGAAAAAAAGCAAAGAAGTGATGGAAGATGTGCTAGGCCCCAAACACCCTAAAACTGCCGAAGTATATGGCACTATTGGTGATACACTACAAGCCATGGGTGACTACAATAGAGCACTTCCATATTTAAAAAGATGCCACAAACTGAAAAAGGAGCTGCTAGGTCCCAAACACCCTGATATTGATACAGTTTGTAAAATGATTTGTACTGTACTTGTAAATATGGGTCAGTTCAAAGAGGCAGTAGAATATTCTAAAAAATATCAGTAAAATGAGTGAGGAAAGTCTAGGATCTAAACATCCTGATAAGGCTACCTGATACAACAATATAAGGAAAGTGATGGAATAAATTGGTGAATATAAAAAAAAACTTGCACATAAAAAATAAATGGAATAAAATGAGAGAATAGGTATTAGACTGCGAACACCCTTTTATGCTGACTCATAATAACAATGTTGGCTGTGTACTGCAAGCTTTAAATGAAAAAAAAAAGGACATATGCTCTGTAATGTAATGTAATTTTTCAAAACACATGAAGCTTATTTAAAGTGTTACTAAAAACGTTTTGGGAAAATTTATTAATTCATGTAATTTTAATTTAATAAACAATTATTCTACAAAGGGGTTTAACTCTCAAGAAAGATGTATGTTGAATATGATGAAAATTTTAGCATTTTGTCTCTTTTACACACAGTACACTTAATATATGTAACTGCACATCTCGACTTCTTTTGTCCCAAATGTGCCCATGAAATAAAGCAAAGCTATGTGCTGAGGTTACTTATGCCCCAATTTCAGTATGCATTAAAAGGCTCTCCACTTGTTCTACCTCTTGACAGTCTTCATCTATTAACCCATATTTATCTTCTACAAGAATATTTCCATAGACCTAACTTATCCCAGAAAAAAAGGATATATATATATATATATATATATATATATATATATATATATATATATATATATATATATATATATATATATATATATATAGTCCTAACTTCTTAAAAAAATATCTCTATAGTCTTTAATTCACTATGTTTCTATATCAATTTAACCTCTTTTGAAATTTATCTGTAGTCTTAACTTCTCCAAGAATTTTATATAGTCCTTCTCCAAAAAAATTCTTTAGTCCTTAATTCTCCAAGAATATCTACCAGTAGACTGTGGTCACTTCTCCAAGAACAACTAGATAGAGTCATTTATTTTCTTTGCTCAAGCATAGCCATGCTAACAACATAATTTGGGTGGATGCATGGCTAACTCACTTTTCACTCCAAAGGATTCATTAATCATTTTGCGTGCGTAAATATCCTGAGATAAAAGAACATGGAACTGTGTGAATTTGGTGCCAAAATATAAGATTATTGTCTTTATATTATTTTAAATATTTTATTTTATTTCTGCATAACTCCATCATAAGGAAGAGTGCACACACATGTGCTTCTGTATGGGGATGCAGGATAAAATCAATAATTATAGTTATGCTAGTTCAAATTTTCTAGTTATATAATTCTGCAACTGGTCCAGTCATATAGGATATTGATCCGAGCCCACACTGGATTTCTACTGGTGAGAACCAGAGTGGGAACATAAACACCATAGACTGAAAACGCTATGTATTACCAAGAGGTTACTGTATCAATGAGATAATTCTGGCAGTTCATAAACTGATTTAATTAACGTGTGAAATGCTGGTGTAACAATGGATTTCATTTTTATATTATACAGGCTAAAGCTAATTTTTTTTTGTTTTTTTTTTTTTGGGGGGGGGGGGGGCAAACCACACTTTTTGCCAGGAAAAGTTTCTCTCTGGATGAAATTTTACCTAGTTTCATGGTAAATGGGCCACTTTTTCAGAAAAAGACCCCCTCCCTTATCAAACTACTGGCTACAGGCCTGATCTATATTGCCTATATGTCTTTTTTTTTCACAACTGAAGAGTTGAAATGTATTTGTTTTTGTTTGTATATTTGATGGTAAACATTATTGTTAGAACTTTATGTTGGAGAGTGTTAAATGTGAGTTTGTATCTGCACATGTATACATTTACACATTTATTTAGTTAAATCATAAATATCAGTTGGGTGATCAAATGTCTATATTACTGGTACATTCAAATCTACAGGGCATACTTTCAGTGTTCCTTATTATATATTTCGCCTTGCTGAAATTGAAGAAACTAGTGGTATTCATAATATTTATCTACTTAAGTAATACTGAGATGTCTGTGTATTTATTCATATCTGTTACGTGTAAGAGAACTTAACCTGATTAATAAGTAATAATAAATAAAGTGAAACAACACTGGTGTGCATCAGTACACAAAGGTTGTCCATTAAATTTGGAATGCTCCACATACAGTGTATGGTAATCAAATGCAGATTACAAATATTAAGTGTATCTATTTGGGGATAGTTATTGCCATTGATTTGTTTTTAAAAATAATGATGAGTATTATTTCATTTTTTTAAAAAATGTATGTATATAAATTCATATACATATATTTTATTTACTCAATATATGTACTGTCATTATTTCATATTTAGAAGTTAGAAATTACTAAACATACTACCAATAGTTATTATTTTATTTTTAGAAATTTAGTATTAGTTATGAACTTATAAAGATATGGACACTGAACAACCACCAGTCTTTAACATTTCATTTATATTAAACTTAAAAGTGAAATAAATTGGGTTCATAACAAATTAAAAGAACAGTTATTTTCAGTCAAGAAAATTTACTTGAACCTCATTATTACCAGTCCCAAAGGCTTACTATCAGTCTGGGACTGAAGGACTGAGTTTTACCATGCCATGAACATCTAACTCTTAATCTGGGCATTACCTTTGTACAGCATGCATTCCTTCTACCTACAAGATTTTTAATGTTAAACTGATGTAATTCATCCTTTCATGAAAACTGATGAAAATGCAAATGGCTCAGATTCAGTTTTAATAGGGGTGGGGGTGGGGATTTACATTGTATCATAATATCATAATGTGCAATAAATGTAGATTTGAAAAGAATACTAACTTTTTTTTCTTGATTCAATGGGGAAAAAAACGGATACTCAAATCACTCCCAGTATCTTATAACAATCAGTAATCTCTGTGAGTTCAAAGCCATATAGCTAGTATACAGTAGTAAGAAATGTGCCCTGGTGCTGTTACTGTTCCTAGCGAAGCCAAACAGAAGCAGGTGATTGGAATATGTAGAGACACTACTGTGTCTATACATAAATATGCAAACATGACAAGGTATAGATTAATAAGTTAAGTCTACATTAAGTTAACCGGCAGTTGAAGTGCACCATCAGAGTAACTGGGTTCAGTTCCAAGAAGTCAACATAATATCTACAAACTATAGTAAAAATAATAATACTGGCAAGAGAGGAACTCTACCTGAATCAAATATATAGTCAACATTATAATTCTCAACACACACAAACTGGGGCGGTTTCACTTAAGCACTTAAGACTGAAATGTCTAAAGTTTGAGCCCAAAATTTTGATCAAATCTGTCATAACATAAATCAGTAGTGATCCATTAAGTGCAAAGTTGCTCCCATTTTACTTTAAATTATTTGGACACTAACCTGAATTAAGTTGCCTCCAACATTGGTTCTCAATGCATTATCCATAGTAAGCTTGGGGTTGTAATGCTCATCATTGGAGATATTAAAGGGATCTTTTTGCTGAATAGAATCCTCCTCCTTAAATTAAAGAAATACTTATTAATAAACAAAAAGAAACAAGATAAATTATTTAGAAGTAAAATTGCACTAATCATGTAAGATATTGAATAAATATTTTCAAGTTGAATTAGAATCAGGGTTAATTTGTATCAATTGAATATGTTTAACTGAAAAATATAATCAGCATCTTTGGCTTTAAATAACACAATTCCTATTCTTTTTACAGCATATATAATCCTTGCTTAATACAAACATCTTCATCTTCCTCCTCAGTTTCTTTGATAAGTCCTGCCTTTCCAAGTAGAATCTTGGACTTCTTCACTTCCTGAAAATTGTGATTATTTTCCATAAAACGATCATGAACATCAGGTAACTTTTGCATGACAAAAAAAAAAAAAAAAAAAAAAAAACAACAACAACATTCACCTTACACAGAAATACAATTTCTCATATTTTAGTGTAAATAAGCCTGTGTAACCGTGTTTAAACTTTCTGACCAAAAACATGGTCTATCTCAGTTACGGATAAACCAATAGTAGTCCACTAGAATATAACAATGTTCTTAAACAGTATCCAAGACTTTCTTGTTATAAAACAATATAAACAAACTCCCAACATGACAACTAGTGCAAATTAATTAAGGTTATAGAATATTTCCAAGGCAATAATACTATAAAACTACCTTCTCCTTTTTGCCGGATGTGGTGGACTTCTCCTCGCCAGGGTCTCTGTCTTCTGGGATTTCAAGGATGATATTTTCATCATTGGGGTCCAGTGTTAGCACCGATGGTTGAGGAATATGGTCCATGGCCTGGAAAAGTCAAAAAGGAAAGAAAGAAATTAAGAACAAGACAGCACATGCTGTCAAATGGACAGACATAAGTGTGTCACACCTGTTTGAATAACAGCAAAAATAGACAGGGGTAAATAGCCACACAATGAAAGAATGAATCACAGTAAAATATCTTTAATTAATTTTGTGCAAAAACTAGGAATCAAGTGCCTTGACCTGTATTACTGTAGCCTAGTGAAGGACTGCAGAAAGTTTTAATTTAAGCAGAAAGTTTTTATTTATCATTATGAGTGTGTTAAGAATAAAAATAAAAAGATATATCCAAACTTTGTCATGTATCAACAAAATAACCAATTAATATATTTCATTTTTATATAAAACATGCTTTTTGAGGCATAATCAAGTCACATACACTACACATACATGCATATTTTGTTTTACTTGTTGCAAGAAAAACCAGTATACATTGTATTTACCTCAGCATCCCATATGACGTCTTTTTCCCAGTTGCCATAGATGAGCTCTTCATTTTCAATGGGAAAGATGGAGTACCAAATCTTGCTACCGCTCTCACCATCAGCATCTGGAGAACAGCATCAAAACACAATGAAAATTATCAAACACATGCAAAATACTTTTATATCTTTAGCTTACGACCAACCAGTCTACAAAACTGACCTTGCATACTTTTTGAATATCGGCGACTTAAGTAATTAACTGAAATTCTAAAACACATCATTTTTTTCTAAATTTTTCTTTTTTCATGGTTTTTCATTTTGTAGATTTTTAAAACATTTTGTTGAAAATATATCAGTTCATGCTGTCTAAATTTATTGCATAATTATTGCATCTCAAAATACGCATGCATTGTAATATTTTGCTCCTTGAATTGTGAGGAGGGCAAAAAATCATAATAACCTTCCATGTCCATGAAGCTCTTGGAAACATTCAAAGAAGTCCCCAGCTTGTAGCTTCCTCCTGGCAAGTTTTGTGGTGTCTTACCTGGAAGCATGAAGAATAAAATATATCAAGTGATCCTTGATTCAATTTTCCCATTTTATCACATTTTTAAATTGTTTTACTTAATTGTAGTTATAGTATATAATTTTTCATTTTACTTCTTGTATAATTCAAAATTATTCAACTATTTATTAATTTGTTCACTCATTTACCTCTATTCAAAATTCTATGCCATAGTAATATCACCATTACTCAGAGACTATTCCCAGACCCTATCATACTAAAATGTGGATCGATCTATCTCTGAGGGGATTTTCCCTAAATTGCAATCAACTTAAGAGGCTTAGATGTCTGTCATGTCTACTACAGCTCTTAGGGGGTTATTAATAATTGTTTAGCAGTTTCAGTAGGCGTGTCAGACACCTAAGCCGCTTAAGCTGAAAGCAGTGAGATGGATCAATCCTGTTAAAACGATCTAGATATTGGAACCCAGTCTTACTCTGGGCCAGAAACTGTGCCACAGTCCTATGAGCCGAGCTGGGGATCCATCCAGCCAGGGCAGACTTGTGTTTGTTGGACTGGACCACTTTCTGCCGGGCCTCTTCTCCATTCCAGATGATATCCTCCTCCCAGGGGAGCTGGGTTACCATGTGGAACGCCTCGTCAGGATATACTGGACCACTGATCTCTTCTTTGGCTTCGCTGTCTTCAGTTTTCTAATAATTATGATAATAGTAATAATATATTATTATTCGAGTTGCAGAAAAGAAGATATGTGTAGATGGTTGATACATCTAATCTTGATTCTTCATCTTCAGTTTTCTGAGAAACAAAAGGAGAAGATCACATTTTGCTATCTACTATGGTGTTTGGGATATATGTAAACAACTCATCATGATGGCTCAGCATTCTTATTTTTCTACCAGTAATCAGTTAAATTAAAAGCGAAGGACAGACTGAGCAAATTTAAAGTTTCATCTTTCCTATCATAGTATCTACTGATAGATTTTTTTTATCTATCCAGTACTTAATTTTCCTGTTGTATTTTCCATAAAAGTGTCCCAAGGGAGAAAATACAAGTATCAAATAATAACAAAATTTCACATCCACAACTAGACAGTGCTGCAAGAGAGCAGACTTCCACAAAGAAAAATGAAATTACTGAAATTCATTTAAAAATGGCTGGTTCAGTTAAAATTGGAATAACTTCTTTGCCTCCTAAAAAACTATCTATCCTAAAACTTTCACCTAACTTTTGAGAACTTTTTCAGATATCTTAATAAACAGACAAACCAATGCCATTGAAAACATAATTTTTTTTACTGACGAAATTATTAACATCTTTATTTGTTGTCATTACCTCTTTCAGTTTCATTCCATAGTTAAATCCTTCCCCAGTTTCATCCAATCCAATCATGTCATACCAGTATGCTGCAGGACCGTAACGCCAGGCTGCCACACATGGTTTCTGGTCTCCCTGGTGTATGCCATCTTGATCAACAGTTGACTTCTTCGGTTCTAAATGCTTCAGCATCATCAACTTATAACATAAAAGAAAATATTTTTGATAGCCTCTTTAGATCAAATACACTTCACACATTCATACCTCTATGAAGGTTTATTATAATAAATCCAATAATTATAAATCCTAGCAACCAGAAATAACAAATATACCTGAAAAAATGTTTTGGTTTTTCATCAGTTTAGTAATTTTTTTTTCAGAAAACTATTAAATTTCTGTAAGAGGTACAAACATTGCAAGATCTCAGTGAAATCAATTCAAACAAGTTGACTTTCAATATTGATATCTTTGGACATTTAATCTTTATATGTACATTAATCATATCTACAAAGGGTAAAAAAAATTTTCACCTATGAAGCATCAAAGGGTCTTTTTTTACCATTTTATAAAAGTCTGAAGAGACAATTATAATCCATATTTTAAGTATTTTCCTTAAAACCCACCTCGTCATCGGGCAACAGTTCATCTCTCCTTGCTGGCCTCCCAAGCTTCAGCTTCCACTCTCTTTCATCTCCACTGGCTTCCTTCTCACCTTCATCTACACAAAATATGTATGTAAGTCATACATTTTAAAATTTGGTGAAATATAGCAGATTTTGCACTAGAGGTATGATGTTTATCCAGTCATCAGCTTATACATTTTAATATTATATCAATGAAAATACTCCCACACAGATTCATGATCACGTGCTCACCTTGCCCTTTTTCTTCTTTTTTCTTTTTCCTCCTATAAATATGTGGCATGTATGTAGGTTTGAACAACCTGGAGAATCTAAGGGTCTAAAAATATAAAATGGATTTTTCATGGATTTTTTTATTGTCTCTTGCATAAAGATGATAAAATAAGTCAATTGTGTCTGCAAGTCAGTCATGTAATCAGGGCACTCGGAAGACTGAAAGATTGAAAGCAAGCACTGCAGAAACCTGTTGGCTGCTAATGAATGCTAATACATCAAGTAAATATAGCTCAGGATTTACATCAAATTTAGAACTTTAATTGCACTTCTGCTATTATAATTACAAATATGCAGCTTTTTCTTACTGCAAAAGTATTTCATATTAAAGCAAAATGTAAGTTAATTTTAAACAAATACTATGTGATAAAATGGCAAACAGGGAGCATGCACTTTCTAATTCTTTTGCAAAATGAAAACAACTTTTAAGGCAAAAAGAGTAAACTACAACACCAACTGTGAACATTATCTAGTATTTTCATCACATATTACCTGACATGCACACATATCACATAAAAGGTTTAATGCCATCAAATTTCATTCATAGTACTTACCTGTCCATGTCGAAACTCGGGGAATAAATCTGTGACTTTCACATGAGCTAGCTCTGGGGGTAACATGGATGCCAGTGGGGTGTTTAATTTCCTCTGATCTAAGGCATGCTGAAAAGACGCCATATCACCTTCACCACCAGTTGCTCCTCCATCAACCTGCTCCTCTTCTGATTGGCCAGATCGGCCCCTGGGAGAACTATGGGATCCCCCATTTGGAATCCAAGATGGTGGAAGCATGGCTGTATGGTCTCTCTGGCTATCCTCTTCCTCATCTGCATCATAATCATCACCCTCTGGGATGACAAGTTAAATTATAATAACATTACTAAGTAGTTAAAAAATTAATAACTTTTTCATATAACATTCTTAAGGTCAATGACAAAATACTAAGATAAAACAAGATCATGGCCACACATATATTTATTTATATTATATATATATATATATACGGACACAGGAAGGAATATTTACGGACACAGGAAGGAATACTTTTAAAATATTTTCTTTTAAAGCTTCCATAAAGATATCACTCCATCATTGTCATCATTATTATAATGAAAAACAGAAAATGCTAATCTATCATTGCCTTTGTTTCTACTGAAGCCATCTTTGCATTGTTTTTTTTTTTTTTTGTCATTGAGAACTCACCAGTGGTGGGACCACTGAGGTTTCCCATGGCAACCCGTATTCTCTCTTCCTCCTCCGCTACTTCATTGATATCAGAAAAATCTTCTGCAGTGTCTGATTTCTTATCAAAGTCTGGAAGCAGAACAAACCTTGGTTTTTTCATCATCAGCCCTTGTCCTTGTTATCACGACACCATGTCATGATTTAAAAATAGTATTAATACTTTATTTTTATACTTGTTTCAAAAAGTCATAATCAGAATTAATGGAATGAATGATTAATGGAATTATCTTCATTTTGATATTTGTGGCATTGCTGTCTTTAGAAATTTTCAAAGACAAGGAAGAAAGATCAATAGAAACATTGTACAAAATCAAATGATATGATTTATTTGTTCACTTTAGCCTCACTTCATTTTTTTAAATAAACTCTTTTCTACACTTGATAGAGAACAGCTTTAGAAAGCAAATACAAATTTAACAAACCATCATCATCATTGCTGGCTGCCAGGGTATCCCCTCCACCACCACCGTCGCCATCATCTGTGATCTCCCGGACCAGGGTCCCTATACTGGTCAGATGACTCAGCTGACCAAGATGTCTCTTAGACTCCTGTGGATAAATCATGATACATAATGAAAATGGACTAGGTTTTGTTGTTACAGAAATAAATAAATTGAAGTAAATATGCACTGTAAAAAGTGTAAAATATTGAAAAATATCAATTTCCATTTTTTGTATTTTAGAATCTTGTTCACTTTTTCTCTCTCTCTCTCTCTTTCAGTGTTTTTCTTTATTTTCTCTTATTTCATTAATTTTAATTAATAAATTTATTTATTTTTCCTTTAATTCCATCTTTTTTAGATTATCTATCCAGAAGGCACATACCTCATCCAGTACATCGTCCTGTAATTCACCATATTTATTGATGTTTCCAAATAAGAACCCAGTCAAGGCAGCTGCCCCAGCATTCCCAGACTGATCAGCACTGTCATTCTCATCATGATCTCCGTGGTAATGGTCGTCATGGTCTCCATGGTAATGGTCATCAAGATCGCCATGGTAATGATCATCGTGATCGTCGTGGTCACTGTCCATGTTGTCCAGTCCTTATTTGTGACTGGATCTAGAAATATATACAATATATGGAGAATGGTAATACATTTCGATGATATATATAAGAGATATACATGAATGCACAGAGCATATCCCAACATCACCACCAATGCACTAAAGCACTACAAAGAAAACTGTCCATTAAGAAGACCTGAGAAGCTGGCCCCAGTTTCACAAACAAACTTTAAGGGGTCTATCTAACACTTCAGGTACAGTTCTCTAATAGGGACTGCACCTTTGTCAGCCTCCTTCCCAGCTGGTGGTGATCACTTATCAACGTTTTCAAAAATGGCCACAGAATTTCCTGACCTCCAACAGACTCTTCATTCGAAATTACTGTCTCTTTTCAGGGAGGCATAATGTCACTGCAATCTGATCACCTCTACCAGTTGTTCTTCCATAAGACAAAAAGACTGTAATCCACTCCTCTGCCCAAAAACGTTACTAGGAATTACTATTCTTCCGTTGCCAAAGTCATCCACAAACTGACTTTTGTTTCATATCTCGACTTCTTTTCTCATTGTTCCATGTTGTCAACAAAGTAACATGCATTTTCATTTGTTCCATCAGGTACGTACACAGCTTATTGTTTCTGGCATGGATCTGGATCACAACAGTTCAATGACATCTCCTGCTTCCTTATACTTTTGTGCGTTAGCACCCAGTACATATCAGAGTCGTCAATAGGAGTGCTAAAGCATGAATTTTCGTGCTAGGTTGCACCAACAAGCTCAGTTCCAGTATTTACCCACTACTCAGATTCTATCTCCAAGATACTGCTTGGTTTGTGGGAGATGCAGAAGAATGGTCAGGCAAACTGGAAGCAACAGACTGTGAGGGTATGTAATTTTAATCAGTGTCCACAAAAACCATTGAAATTGTGCTGCTGCATCCTTTTTTACTTCTCAATGTCACAAAGTAATCTGGCCAGAATTCATGTTCTGCTTCTGGTTTGCCAGAGCTTATCCATATAATCACCATGCAGCTTTGAGGCTGGCACACCACTCTGTGATACTCAACGATCTGCAGTCCGTCGGTGTTTAGAATGCCCGCATGTATCGTCAACACTGACAGCGGGCCGCTGACAGCACCTCTCGTCAATTTTTGACAATTAAACAAATTGCTTTTGCATGCATCCCACCCCCACTTCCAGCTGGTACCAGCCATTGAATTTCAATGTTTACTCAGTAATATAACTTGTGAAGCGCCTTTGATCAATGCTTCTACTTATTCAATTTTTATTTTGAAAAGATTTTATTTAAAAATAGTTAAGTCTTAAGAAATTCTCTCAGTTTTCACAGCAAACTGCAGGTTTTCAAGAGTCAAATACAAAAAGCATATATGTATTTATTCTTACCGTCATATACTTCATCGGTGCATGGCTTTTGGGATTGATGGAATTGATACTGGGCAGACTGACTGAAAGTATACAAAGGTATACTTGCGAGCACACTGAAATTTACAATAATTGTTTCAACCGGAAGTGTGTTATTTCACTCCGCAACAAATATCATTCCGCACAGAATTTGGATCCTCGATTTGTTTATATTGTTTTAACTCTAATTATTGATCAACTTCTCATTTAATAGACTTAGATAAAATAAAAAAAATTAATATAATTATCAAGTACTTTTATAAACTTCCCGCAAGGCAGAAAGCGGTTATGGCCGATGCTGAACATGAGAACGGTTTTGATGTGGAGCTGAGGCCAAAAGTTGGAGTTGGTGTGTTTATAATAAGCCCAGACCATCCAAATTGTGTATTAATCGGTTTGAGAAATGGTTCAAGAACGGGAAAGTTGTACGGGTTGCCTGGTGGACATTTAGAATTCGGGTAAGGAAACAAGGGATCTAAGACTGTACATAGTCCGAGCCTTTGCTGTTTTGTGTTGCCCCCCCCCCCCCCTCCACCCCTGCCACTCACTGCTGGCACGGTTGAATATCTCCTTGATCACCTTGTTGTAAATTACAAATTAAAAATACCTTATTTGACGCATCTTGTATTTATTTATTTATTATTATAATTTTTTTTTGGAGAGGTAATTTCCGCTCTTTTTTCAGTGACATACATGTAGATAGTTACCGACGTCTTTGATGATCCACCAATTTGAAAATAAATTAGTTCAATTTAATAATATTTTTTTCACTTTATTTTTTTTCATGTGTTTATTTATTGTCCTTAACTTGATCATCTTCTGTGCATTGGAGGTTATTTTCTGTTTTTATTTTTCTTTCTTTCTTTCTTTCTTCATAATTACTAAAATTCTGTTTTCTTCAGAGAAGAATGGAATGAATGTGCCGTGAGAGAAGTCCAAGAAGAAACTGGACTGAGACTGACCAGAGTGGACTTTGCCACTGTGGTCAATGTGGTGTGGAGGGAACACAATCTCCATTACGTTGACATAATGATGCTAGGAGTAGTTAACAGAGGATGTGAACCACAAAATTTGGAACCTGATAAATGTGAAGGTGAAAATGGGTTTTGCTGATATTTCTTTTAACTTGGACAAATTTATAATTAACTTAACAACAATAATACTCTTGATTTTTTTCTTAATTTTTGGCATTGTACAGACATTCAATGGGTAGCAAGGCCAATGAACTATGTGCAAGTGTGATATAGTAATTAAGCCCTTAAAAATTGATTTTTTTACCTTTGCAGGAGGGGTTAATGTATTTTATGATTATATAGTGTCCATATATTGTTCTTTCTTATTGTTATTATTGTAAGTCTTACATGGGGGGGGGGGGGGGTTCAGAAGAACCACACTTTTAGTTGGATATGAAATTTAAACTGGGTTCTGTATGCTTGCTTTTTCTCAGGGGAATAATTTAAAGGTCCAATTTTAGAAAAAAAAAGACCCCCCTCCAGCCAGTACCCCTTTCCCCCTTGAAATCATTGTCTAAAGGCTTGATATTATATTGATGCTTCATGCAATCGTTTATATCATGTATGTTTAACCTATTTGTTTTGATTTTCAGGTTGGCAATGGTGTGACTGGGACAATTTCCCAGCCCCAGGAGAACTATTTCTTCCTCTGAAACTTGTCAGGGAGCAAGGATTTAATCCCTTCAGGACTAAAAGCACAGATGAATTATAACAAGGAGTTGAAATTCTTCTCAGTTTGCATCTAGAATATAACAGTTTGGACATGGCGATTGTCACGATAATGAACATGTAAATAATTAATTATGTATGTATTTTGTTAATTGTTTTACATATGTGATAAAATAAACTTATTTCTATAACTGGAGAGCTTGCAGCTTTTTTTATTCAATATTTAACAAGAGAGGCGTGACATACCGGTAACTACAAAATGAGGGAAATATAAATGTGCCACAACTGTCAAATTAAATACTCCTAAGACTTCTATACACCAAAAAAAGAGTATTGGAAAAATTTTATATGTCCTAGTGGAAATTTCAACAGCTTTTTAATCATCAATGTGTGTCATATAAAAGTAATAAAACTTTAAAGAAAATTAAGATTGTAAACCGTTGTCAATCACTAATTAAGTTTCAACCATTATGAGTGAAATTCACACACCAGACTCCATCAAAAATAATTAATGAAATTAAAGAAAAAAAACAGTCCCAGTGCCCATTATTCACCGTTTAGTTTCATCAATGTTACAAAAACAGTGAAGAACAGGCGGATTTAGAGGGGGGTCCTGACCCCCCCTCCCCCCCCCTCCTCGGATTCTGAGAAAAGTAGTTGGTGATGCAGTTCCATATGGCGTTGATTTTACTAACGTTCATAAAAAGTCCAATATAACCACTATTCGTTTCTATCAGATAAAACGCCGACCCATGTTCAGGAGAATTTGAAATCTCTGTGAGGGATAGTGAGTAAGGGTAAAGGAACTATTCTACGCCACAGCCGAAAGAAAGTCGATGATGGCACAGTGAGTAACGCCGTCGTCGGTATTTAGCCCTTCAGGTAGCGGGTTCGATACCAGCGTTAAAATATCAGTAATTTTTTTTATACACGTATACTTGAGGTATTTTCATTTCTAGACAAAGAGTACAGCTAAATACATCAGGTAATGCTGTCATTAGCGTGTCGTCGTCGGTGGCGCAATTGGTAGCGCACGTGGTTCCGAAGCATTCTTCGATGCCGACGCTGACACGAAGACGCCTGGTGTAGGTTAGATCAGGCAAAGGTGTAGGTTAGTCTAGGAATAGCCTAGAAGTGATTATGAGCTACTACTAGTAGTAGGAATAAAAGTTAGAAAATCAAATAGGCATTGAAAAATAAGTTAGAGAATCCAATAGGTATTTAAAACACAATAAATCAGCTACTGCTGTGAAAAAAAATTAATTTTTAATTTTTTTCTGACATTTCCTATGTTGTGCTTGGATTTATTACATGTAGTGTCAACTAGCAGGATAGAGTGCATACTGCAGTCGTTTTTTTTCTTTTTTTTTCTGCCAAGACCAGGAAGTTTGAAAGAAGAAAACATGTTGACTGAAAGTGTGACAACATTTAATTATGGGCCATAATCAATTTTTACACCTGCAGTTAGTGCGCATGTTTATTTTCAAAAAGCATTTTCATAAAAGAAAACATTAATAATAAAAACAGACACAGTCATTCAAATATTAACATGTGAAGTCATTTAGAAGGCATTTGATTGCTTAGAAGGCACTGATCGATCGTCAAAAACATCTCAGCAGATAATGTTTTAAGAAGTCACTCAGGTACAAGGTAGTTGGCGATGCAGTTCCACATTGTGTTGATTTTACGTGCAAGAGGATAGTGAGTACAGGTAAAGGTACTATTCTACGCCCTAACCGTAATAATATCGTTGCTGGCACAGTGGATTAAGGCGTCGTCCACATAAAGTCCTACAGGTAACGGGTTCGTTACCAGCGTTGGAGCTCCACTTTTTCTTATACACGTGTACTTTAAATATTTTGATTTCTAGACAATGAGTACAGGTAAATACACCAGGTAATGCTGTCATCAGCGTGTCGTCGTCGGTGGCGCAATTGGTAGCGCACGTGGTTCCGAAGCATTCTTCGATACCGACGGTGACACGAAGACGCCTGGAGTAGGCTAGGTGTAGACCAGGCTAGGTGTAGGTTAGATCAGGCAAAGGTGTAGGTTAGTCTAGGAATAGCCTAGAAGTGAATATGAGCAAGTAGTAGGAATTAAAGTTAGAAAATCAAATAGGCATTGATAAAATAAGTTAGACTGGAAGTGTAACAACATAAAATAATTGGCCATGGTCATTTTTACACCTGCAGTTACCGACCTTTAATGGTTTGTCTCTAACAATGCACGTTTATTTTAAAAAAAAGCATTTTCATAAAGGAAAATATAAATAATTAAAACAGACTCAGTATATAAATATTAACATATGAATTCATTCAGAAGTCATTTTATATTTTAAGAATGCATTGATCGATCGTCAAAGACATCTAAGTAAATAATGTTTTAAGAAGTTATTCGGATAGTTGGAGTTGCAGTTCCTCATAGTGTTTCATAGGGGTTCAAGAGCACGAAGTAAATGTACTCATTCATTAAGGAGTGTTTAGAAAATGGAAAGAATCCTTACTTCAGCTATGACGTGCTTGCGGTTGAAGGCCAAAAAGTTGCGTTTGACAAAGAAGAACACTTTATCTACACAACTTGCCCACCTCTTTTAAAGCTATATGACGAGGCACCGCCCCCTCTTTAAATGTGCTGCACAAACTTGCAACTGCAAACGCCAGTACACGTAGCCTATTATTTTTCTCCGATTTATTATATATATATGCCTTTAACAGCCTTGTACCCCACTCATGATATTTGTTCGATTTCTTCCACTTGGATATTGTTTTCCATTGCTACAGTCAGCTTTATGAATAGTTTTGTATCAGCTTTTAAATTGTTGGGACAACAACTTAAGATGACAATTCATTGTGTCTGTAACTTAAGTAACGTGCCATCATTTTAGCAGGACTGCAATATGAATTTTTTCTTTAAATAGGCAATTCCACTTCCCTTTTTATTAAGCAAAAAGCTAAATTGTCTAAATCTTTACACTCCACGGATTAAGAAGGAAAAGTCCTAATCCTTTAACTATGGTTGGTTAAGTTGGAAGGTAGATAATGTTATGCGATTCATTGCCATACCACGCCCCATTTTCCACAGGGGTCAGATTTTAGTAAAATAGAAAATCGCTATCAGCATTTTCCCCCTTTTTGGTTATAATTTTCCGAAATGTGGGTTGTGGCCCAAAACCTAACAGAACAGTTTGTGAGGCAACGAGTTGGTCACAAGTGACAATGGAATTCAAAACTCCGTTTGCGGTCTCTTCGCTAACCAATCAGCTATCTTTGGGAGAGCTTTAATGCGGCCAAGGAATGCTTGCAATTCGTCGCAATTTGCCATGCATTTGGGGAACTTAACCACCATCCCTGAACATTGATCGAAGACTGCTAGATCGGCAATGGAGAGCTGAACGTGAAAAGAAATACAGTCAATTATTCGAATGAAAAACTACGATAAAATGGTTAATAAGAGTTTAGTTATTAATATCTTATATATCTCACTTTATTTTGAAAAACTAAAAAATAAGACCACCATTTTGAATATAAAAATAAAAATACTGTACATTTTAATAATATGAGCAGCACAATACAATATTTCAAGAAAAAGTCTTTTGTCTAACCTTGTCTCCTGCAAAGTATCCTTTGCCGCCATCGTTGCTTTTTAAAAGTTTATTAAGGAGTTGCATGAATCCAGGCAGTGTTTCATCATTTAGCTTCTTTTCTTTCTCTGCCTAGCAAAAAGATGGATGACCACTGAAGTCAACAGAACTATCACTTGATATTCGATTGGTTTGAGACTAAATTGGCCTTTAAAACCCTGGTCCCTTGTGTAAAATTCTACTACAGCACCATGGTTAACATC